CTTAAATTTTCTGTATTACAGTAAGGCTCGAAAAGTTTTTTGCACAAGAGCCTCGAAAAGAGCTTTTTTTAAGTTCTATAAACATAAGGAGTTTCACCAGGTCTGAGCGAGACTATGGGACCACAATTTGGACCTTAGATCTCACGACGGGAAAAATCGGGACACAGACTATTACACAGCAGTCAGCAGTAGTGCTATGGGACCGCAATCGTTGAATGCAGTTGTTTCTTGTGAGGTCACGGTATGTAAAAATAAGCATAAGCAAAATCAAGAAAATCATTAAATCAAAAATAAGAGGTCAGTTCTACTCATACCAACTGCCTTACAATATGAAACAAATAGAAAATGTATTCAAAGGTTGACGACGCAAGACGCGGTCTTGTCATAAAACTGTTATGACACGTCATGCGATGACGTGCCATACACGTCACTGACGAGATCGCTTTAATGATGTAAAGGCAATACGTCCTTTCATACGTATCATACGACATGTCCCATAATAAAGCGGTTTATCGTCTCGCTGCTTTGCCGCCACGTAGTACTATTGAGCCTTTTTTTACAGTCTCAGAAGAGTATGCGTGAAACACGAATGTGAACTGTTATGCAATGCCGTCTTTGCAACTTGTTTACTAGCTCATATCACAATTAAATGGAGAAAATTATCTATTTTTGTCTGCATGATCGCGGAGACACATGCGAGTTTCCAAATACAGCAACAGAACGCCTTTTCGTAAGTTGACAGGTTTTCACCATGAGCCAGTGTTTTAAGTTCTCTTTTTCTAAATTCAGACCCCAACTGAATTTCAAGTTACGTTGTCCACGCAAATCACTTACACTATTAGGAACAAACAAAAATAAGCAAAAGGAAAGGCACAAAAAGTACCCGGTGTTCAAGAGAAAGGTGCGCCCTTTACGCGAGTGTGCTTACCAGTAGTTTATTAGAGAACATAAGAAAATCCCAACGATCTCGTATAGCAATCCCAATTTTTATCGAATCAACGAACAGAATTGTGAGGAGAAAAATGTGGATCGAACCTGTCCCTCGGAGCGAAATTCATCGATTCGATTAAGCGTCTCAGGTTTTAGGTCCACCGCGGAGCCTGCCTCCTTCCTTTTTTCTCCCCTCCTCCTTTCTTCTTTTCCTTCTTTCCTTCTATATTCCTTCCTCTCTTGCCGATTGGATTCTGTCTCAGGGCACTTGCCAACCTGGAAGCTTCTCTTCTCTTTTCCTTTTTCTTCCTCCTTCCTTCTTTTCCTTCCTCCCTTCTCTGCCTCCTCCTTTACCTTCTCCCTCGAAGTACTGGACTGGTAGATGCTCGAGAAAATACCCCTGGACCCTCGCAGCGAGAGCACGTCTGATTGACAAGAGCTCCGTAACCCCAGCATTTGAAGGGAAGTGGGTTTAAAATGGAATGATTGAAGGAACAAGCAATAAGGAAGAAAATGAAGTATGAGGAGAATTTGGCAGAGACGCACATTACCACAACTTTTCTCAACCAATATCCGGAGCTCGCATTGAGCAATGTTCTCGTATAGCAACCCTAATTACTTTAGAATAAATAAAAACAATGAAAATTGTGAAGGGAAAACGTGGAGCTCAACCGGCCCCCTCGAAGCGAAATTAATAAAGAACAACACCCAAAAACCTCCAAAGCTCACTCACCTTGCAATTTTCGGAACCGGT